TTCAGAATGAGCGCCGTCACTTTAATGCATATCAGTACTGGTGGCCACGCCCCCAACTCTGTTTACACGTATACATGTGAAAATGGCTGCACATAGATGCACAGTTACACAGCAGCACAGGTTTTTGAAATGGCTCGTTTTCCAGACACCAAAAGAAGAGACCCAAATGGAGAAACAAAAATGTGCAAATTGTGAATTTTGGTATGAATGTATAAACGAATGAAAATATAAACATTTTTAATAACCAGACAATTTCAAACTGCTGTAAGTTTGCACCTGGGCTTTAAGTAAACTTGATTTATTTTTAATCTTTGTCGTCTAACTCGTATTTGTAACTGTGAAGTTAATTAGATTTTTCCTTAAAAAGCTCATAACTGTCACATTTGTTTCAAGCACATCTAGAGAGCCGTTTCTGAACAAAGGAAAACACGTTTTCTCAGTTTAAAGCTGCTTTCCTTTCATCGTTTAACGTATTTTCACCATGATAGGTAGTTAATTTGTGTGTTTGAGCTTCTTTCTGTTGTTTTGCTGAGGTACGGCAGTGTGGGTGGGAATGTGTGTTCGAGCTCTCTGTCTAGATGCATTCCTGTTTAGAGTTATGTAATGTTTCTGCTCTGATATTCAGGATTTTTCAAAATGCAAATAAAACTGAGATGAAGCATTTGAAGAGGATGACCTTTTAATGCATTCAAATTTATTGGAGCAGCGGCTTGAACCCAATTTATTCTACCGTGTTGTGGTTTCTAATTCCAATGATATTTAATTACTTCTGACCTGTTTTATTGATGTCACCTGCTCTCTTGTCTGCTGTTTTATTCCTATAAATATTTAGTTCATTTTTTTTCTGCATCGTAAATTCTCGAGATCAACAGATTAAACATCCTTTAGAAATGTAAAAGCTACGAGAACTGAACCAAATCAACTATGACGATGAAACTGGAACAACATCAACAATTCCCATCAGTCTGTGAGATTTTAAGACCATCTGAACTCCATCATTCTGCAGAGAGAAAAGGTTGAAGGAAAACAAGATGGCAGACAGCAGGACGTCTGGCAGCACAAACTCCTCCAGCTCGGTGGTGGAGGGATGATGATGTGGGCTGGTTTTCACGCATTCAGCAGGTTTTGACCTCCACATGGAAAAGTGACTCCATCAGTCAGACAGATGAAGTTTGGTCCTAACTGGGTCATCAACAAGACAATGATCCCACCGGAATGGCCTAGTCAAATTCCACACCTCAAACCAAAACCTGCCTGAACTACAGGGAAGCTGGAAAGAATCTGGGATCTTCAGTGATTTTCTACATGAGGTCAAAGTTCAAAGCTTGATCATATTTATCATATCCTAAAGTTGAACCATAAAACTAGAAGCCACTTCAAAACAGTCAGAAGATGTAAAATAAATTAAACCATGGATGTCAAGGAAACCACATGAAAATGTTTCCAAAAGCTTTTTTTTATTATTTTTTATTAATTTGCAAGAAAAATAATGAATAAATGGACCTGGACATGACCCTGACCGTATCGTCCTCTGAGCTGCAGGACAGTCTCAGCTTTTAAAAGTCCTGAAGCTCAGATTCCTCTGGTCTTTACCTGTTTCAGCTTCCTGCTCTTCCATCTGTAAAACAGGCATAAACTTGTTGGATTCGGCTCTGGGCTTCATGTGTAGGAGGAGAGTGCAACAATGATAAAGATAGTAAGTGCAAGAGAGCGATTTTTTTCCTCCACTCAACAACAAGTGAGAGTCCAACACGTTTAGTGGCTGCTTGATGTTCAGCCGCTGAGCCTGCTGTCAGGAAAATAACGGCTGTTTGTTTCTCTTCTGCAACAGATTTCTACTTGGCCGCCCAGTTAAGCTGAACGTCCTCACTGCTGAGGGACAGCAGCTGCTGGGTCTTATTGTCAGCAATCTTTGGCTTTTGTAGGGAAGGAAATCATCTCACTATCACAGAGAATCGCTTTGCTTTAAAAAGCAGTGCAGCGATAAAAGAAGCGTGTTGCATAATACTTAACAACAACAGCTTTGATTTACCAATAGATCCAGTTAAGTGAAAAATCTGAGAGAAACTCCAACAACTAAACTCTGAGCCCACAGAATAAGTTCATTGGTGATGGTGTGCACCGCTAGCTGAAATGTTAAAGCACCATCAAAAATATTAGTTCTGTTAATGCTAAAGCAATACACCAACATGGTATTTAGCAGAAGCTAATGCTAAAGCACTAAATATAACCCTGCTAATACCAACCACGTCTCAATGATTTTATGAGCAAATTTGTCATTGCACACCTTCCTGTACGGTTTGCGCTTCAAGAAATTATTACAGAACTCATCTGGAAAAATGTATCTAGGGGACACTAGATGCTCTAAACATCTTCATTATCACCACAAACACTCGCACTAGCCAAAAAATTAGCTGCGCTGTCAGCTTATTAGCAGAAGTGTGTCCATCACTATCTACTGTATCATGCTGTTTTTATTTTAATTATGTAAAGCACTCTGAAGTGCCTTGCTGCTGAAATGTGCTATAAAAATAAAATTTGATTGATTGGTTGATACAGACATGAATATGCTTGGACTACAGATTCAGATTTCTAAGACTAAAACTGATCTGAGTCTATATTCAGTTTCAGAGATCTAGAAGGAAATCCAAATCAAATCACACAAGCTGACCCACATCAGGGCTCACCCTGTGTCTCTTGACTCAGCAAAGCCAAGAAACACATTTAAAAGCTGTGAGAAGACAGAGAGGACTGAACCCATAACCAAACAAAACACCTGCTGTTAGATCCCGGACGAGCCCCCAAATTATTACATCCTGAGATGATAAGCAGACAAGCCTGAGGGGGGCATCCTGACATCATGGGCATATTTACACTAGAGAAGCAATTTATCTGCATTAACACATCAGTATGGGTTCAGTAAATAAATGATATGAAGAACTGATGTTTATTTCCATCTTTCTGCTGTTTGTTTCTGGGCTGGGAGTAGACGGGGTCATGTGGTATTTGTTTGGTCATGTGACTGATGGTGAGGCAGAGCAGGTGTCAGCAGTGTCCTTGTCTTTTCCCACTGTTGTAAGTGTATGGAAACATACATATATATATAGTTTTAGTAAATATTGGATACTGGCCAGAACAGCATGTTAATAGCCCAGTGCATCCCTGATTTTCACCAAACTATACAGCCAGTTATAAGCTGCTTATGTTTCCTGTAAAGTGTCAAACTTCACAGTATCATGAAAACTTATTATTTTTTTCTAGATTTTGTTCAGTGCAGTTTGTTCACAGAAATCAAGCTCCAGGGAAACGGCTAAATTTAAGCCTCAGCTGTAGTCAGACTCTGACTAACAGTGATGTGATTTCAGTTCATCCTGCCCTCCCTCTCTGTGAAACGCTCAGCTAATGAAACGCTCCACTGGAGTGGATGTGGAGGACCTCGAGGACCCCGTGGGACTGCCTTTCGTAAATGCCTGCCTGGATAAGGCTCTTTTGTAACTTAGGCGTAGGTTATGAGTCAACCATATCAGTTGGAACTTAGTCCTTTGCAGGATTTTCCCCTCATAAAACATGCACAGCAGTGCAGGTTCACTCTGCATAAGGAGAAATCCTCAGTTTGGACCACAGATGTCAGATTAGACTCTTACAGGATGATAGCATGAAGTAAAATCACTCTGATTTTAACGTATTCACACAAACAAAACCAAAATGTAAAACATCAAATCTTTAATTTTAAGCAGAAGCAAACTTTTCTTTCTATTCCTGCTGAAACTTATTATTACAGATTTGGCTCAGCTTAATTAACTGGAAATAACATTTCCAAACATGTGAAAACTGTAGGAAACGTTTTCAGGCAGCTGACCACATCAGCCCCTTCAGGTCTTCTTGATTCTGCGATTGAGGAAATTCACACAAATGTTTCATAAAAATGATTAAAACCATTGGGTCTACGTTGACTGCCAACTCCCACCTGCAGGTGGCAGTATCTCTTACTTTTACTCCACTGCTGCCTCAGTTCTACTGATATGGAGCAACAAAAATCAAGCTAATTTCTTTATGTCCAGTCTGTCTGCTTATTTTTTGCATCTTTTTTCTTCTACATATAGATTTTGAAAGGGAAATGAGATAAGAATATTGCAAAATTTGTGGAGGGACTGCAAAACGTTCACTTCCTTGCCAACATAACCAGTACCACCATGAAGAGATGAGAAATGTTGTTCACTTCATCTGTCTGTGGTCATAATGTTATGCCTGACATGTTGTAGGGCCTGAAACTCGGCCCAGTGAAACTCTGATTTGGTTGCAGTCACCTCCAACTTTCTTAAAATAGCAGCATCAGTGCTCCTATTTTGGTTTTCAAACTTTTGAAATAAATGTCAGATTTCATCCGATGTTTGTGACAGTGTGACGCCGGCACAGCGGACAACCAGGTACCGATCTGCAGCGGAAAGTTTAGCAACATTTTCTGCAGAAATGTAATTTAAAACGTTTGTTTGCAGCAAAAAGAACATTTAATGTTTGCAGAAATAATTAGAGTGGCTCATGAACACGCCCTACGTGAAAACTTTGTTGTGCAACCCTGAGCATTCATGCACACACATTAAACTTTGGCGTGTTCATGTTTCATATTAGTGCACGGTGCGTTAGCTCTAAATCAAACATTTTCACGCTATTTCAATAAATTCAAGCGCATCAGAGTCGTCCTTTCTGCGCCCGACTGAAACGAATCCCAAAAAGACGGTCGGCATTTCACGCTCACTCGCTGCTCTCCTCCAAGACTTTAATTACAACATTTCCATTATTGGCCAAGAAAGCGTTTGCATCCTTGGTTGAAACTGACCTTGGCTGTTTCCCCACTGTTGCCATGGCAACAAATGAGATGAGGAGAATGTGCTGCTACTAAAAATGTTTTCCCCACACTCTAAAAGCTGCAATAAATCACCAAGAATTGGCTAAAAATAGCAGCAATTACTTTTTTTTATTTATTTATATTTCGCCCGTACCTGAAATGGAGTCTGGCTGTTGTAGTTCTTCACTTCCTTGTCAGCTCCACGGACCAGCAGCACTCTGGCACAGTTATCCTGAGAGGGAGAAAAGAAAAAAAACATGAAGTAAAACGAACCAGAAACCATCCTAAAGATCCGATTCCTGTAAGTTCTCCTACTTTGTTCTGGAAGAACAGCGATTATCTTCCAGTGACAGAGTTTCCCAAGAAGCCAGAGGAGCAGGAACAGGAAAGAGTGTTCAAACGTCTAAACATGTCATTACTAAGTGAGAGGCAGCAGGAGCATGGACGACCTGCACCAGGAGTGGAGCTTCTTCTGCTTCAAGTGAATCTGTTGCTCCACTCCGACAGGAAGAGGGAGCGCGGGGAAGAGAGAGAAGAAGAGCGCTGGAGCGAGCTGAGGGGTTTGAATCTGCTGCACATCTCGCCCACAATGTGCTGCACCACGCATGCACCGCGCTCACATACATGAATATAAATACTTTTTTTAGAGCCACAATGAGCTGTGGAGAGTTGGCAGGAGAATCACAAACTGAAGCACAGCCATGATCTGAGCAGAGCAGTCAGCTCCTTCCATACGTTCTGCCATGAGAAGCTTTCCCTCCTCATTTAAAACCAGATCCTCCGGGTTATTTTTACCCGTTCACCTGGACGGCAGCCAGTCCTCCAACACGCTGTCCTTTCTCCTCAGAAACGCTCAGAAATGAGAATCACTCCGGACAAATGGGAGCAAAGCTGTTTGTAAAATTAATTAAAAGAGGAGCAGAAACAAAGATGGAGGGATCTGAGTGAGAAAGGTCAGAGCAGAAAGGTTCACGATTCTCCCTGGAAACTTCGATACCATGGAAACTCCTCCTGGGTTGATGGGCGTCACTTTGATTTCCTGTTTTCTGTCAGGAAAAAACTTTAAAAATGATTCACCAAAAACTAAAGATCACCCAACGGTTCAGTTAGGAGCCTCAAACAGAAAGGGAAAGTCCTTCACAAAGATACCCAGCTGGATTTAGGTCTGGACTTTGACTAGGCCATTCTAACCCATGAAGCTGCTTTGCTCTGGCTGTAAGTTCAGGATGGTTGTCCTGCTAAAAGGTGAAGCTCCACCCCATTCTCAGGTCTTCTGCAGCCTTTCATCAATCTAGGAAGGGGTCAAAGGTCGTCTACACTCCATTTGGACGACATTTTGGACTTTAGGTTTCTTGTTTTTCTGTCCCAGCAGATCCAGTCAGGGTCAGCATGAGCAATGTTCAGAGAAATTACCAAAAAAAACCAAAAGTTCAGAAACCACAGGCATCAGAGAGCAGGGCCAAAGTCATGAAAGGACGATTTGAAAAAGACCAAACAAAACAAGATAATGGGTGAAAAGCTAAAAACAAACTTCATGCAAAGTTGTTCTCTTAAAAAATAGAACAAAAAAAGACGTGTAACGAAGTCCTTCAGTCAGACGAGACGTTTGACCACAAAACAAGATAAATCAGCACCGACTCTTCATTTCAGCCGGTCGGCACGGCGCCGATGATGGACCAGGGAAACTCACTGGTTTTAGTTTTTAAATGTCAGAAATTGTTGTTCATATTTCTCATTTAAAAAGATGAAAGTAAAAAAAGTGAGAAGGGAAAATCTGTTTTTCATTTAGTTGCCCAATATCTGTTCACATACAGATTTTCTATAAACAAGCCAAAACATCACCTTTACTTTGTTAAACATTCATGTTTGACATTCTGGATTAACTGAGAGAAATATGGTGATTAATAAAAATAATCACAGAGCGGATCAACGTGGAGCAGGTTTACCTAAAAACAACAGAACTCTCCTCAGTCCAGCTTTATGTTTTTATCAAGTTGCATCGAATGAATCTCAGTTTTGGGGATTTTTCTCACACAGATATGAGAATAATTTATCTGAAAAGTTTCTGCCAGCAGCTCATTTTCAGTCATGACTGTTAAAATTACAGTTAATCCTTTATGACTGATCAGCAGGAGAACTGAGCCAGTATTATATTTTGACTCTTTACTGGTTTTCAACAGATATTTTAAGTTGCTGAGATTTGAAAGCATCAGAGGGAATCTCTTCTTTAAAAGCCAAACTGAGAGCAGCGAGTTAAACGCTCTGATGAGCTGCAGCACAAACGACGCTGACCTGCAGCCAGAGGCTTCAAAGACCAGCTGCAGGTCAAGTGGCGTTTGGAGTGGGATACAGGGACTTTCACAGCTCGGTGTGAAAGTCTGACCAGTTCCTCACATCAAGAGAGCCGCCTCCAAACTCTCTGATAAATGCCGACATTTATCCTAAATAAATGTCTTGGATTTTTCATCTGGAAAGAGTCACAGATATAAACTCTGTCTGGGAAAAGACAAAAAAAAAAAAAAGAGTTTCTGATCAGGTCTTCAGAGAAATGCTGACTCTGTTTCCAGAACCAGAAAATCAGGATTGAAAGTCTGTTTGCTGGCAAATAATCTGATAAATGAGCTGCTTTAAACAGTTTCTTTATTTTCCTTTATTATCCTTTAAGCTCTTTGTGTGTGAATGAGCCTTATATGAGTGGACCTGTGTCGGCTCAGAGGAGTGATTGTTTATCATATCCCATTAAATTTCTTTCCAAGATATAAAAGCATCAATTACTAGAGGATAGATTTTAAAAGATGACACATCTTGATTTGCTTTTATTCCTGAATAATTAAAGGATTATTTTCTTTTCTGTCATCTCAGCTGCTTCACACTCAACTTTTACTTCCTGGAAACTCGTAGAGCAAAACCAGCTAAATGGATTAGATGAACAGGAGCTTATAATGTGTGGGTGGTCATTATCGGAGTTATACTTTCATATGGATATGATGAAAAGATTAGCATGAGATACAAAGCAGAGCGCTCTTTACATTGAACTTCAGCTGTTCACAGCAATTAGAGGAAGAAAGACTTTCCTCCTGGGATCGGCTGAACTGCACCGCCTCAAACATCATCAATACTAGCAGGGACAGTAAATAATTCGTCTCCTGGGAAGAAGAAATGGAGCGGAGCAGAAAGAAAGGAAGCTGAGCTAAATGAGTTAAAGCTCTCAACTCTGCAGTTTCATTCTGTTCTGGTAGAAATCACGGCCGCTGGTCTGAGAGGAGCTCAGGTTTGTCAGAACGCTGAACTGAACAATGAGGAACATGGAGGAAACGCAGGTCGTCTCCATCAGGGGCTGCGAGTTCGGATCCTGCAAAGGAGTCTGTTCTGTGAAGCTAACCGCTAGCTAACCGCTACAGGAGCCGTTTAAAAGTTAAAATTATCTGCAACAGTTTGTTATTTATCCTGTCATAAGAGGGAAGAGTGGAGGTTCATTTTCTGAAGACATATTTTTTTAAACCTTGTTATTCATTCATTTCTAAATGCCAGCTTCAAAATAAATATCTTATTAGCAAGACAAAGATTAAGTTCAAAACTAACCAAAATATTTCTAATCAATAGGGCTGTGTAATAATATCGATTTTGCGATATACATCGATATTTTCTTTCCTAGAAAAAAATCGATATTCATCCGCAAGTATCATAACATCCAACTGTCACCTGTCTCACTCACTGCTGCTTCGCCGGGAGAGTGATTGGGTCATCAGGCTTAGAGTGATTCCTTCAGATGTTAAGTGTCAAGGTTAAAAAGGTATCAAACTATTCAGAGCAGGGTACTTGGTGGACTGTATTTACTTTACAAATGCATGTAAGCTACAGTTTGTACTGTTTCAATTAAAAGAAACATGTTTAACATGTTTTCTCACCACTTCTTTGATTCATTTTGTCCAGCTGTCGATAAGTTTGTGTCCATGTCCAACCAGAGCCAGGTATTGTGTAGTTGGTGCTTTTAATCAGTTTTCAGTTAAATTAATTCAATCCAACTCTAGAACAGTCACAAAGTGTCACCAAAATACGCTGTCCCTCTAAAATCTTAAAGAAAATCGCAAAAGTGTATTGAATTGTATTGTTTGCTGAATATTGCAATATATATCATATTGTGCGCAGAATATCGTGTATTGTATCGTATCATATCGTGAGATTATTGTATCACTACAGCCCTAATAATCAAACTAAATATTTACAGACTGAATAATTACTCCTGAGCTAAATATTTAGCTAACATGCAAATTCACTTGCCGATAAGTGGAAGTGGACTATCAAAATAAAAGCTTGGTATTGCAGCCCACCATTTAAATTTATATAAAATATAAATTATTGCTGATGTCACTTCTTTATCATTGTTTCCTAGATCAAAATGTAATATTTTGTTTAGTATCTAAATATCTGTCTTCAGCTAACGACCTGAAACAGAATCAAGATTTTATAAAGTGGAACATCGCAGTCGTAACAAAAAGTAACAAAAAGCAAATTTGATGCTTTTCTGTTAAAATATTCACTTTATTGAGTTTAAATATGTGAACAGGAGCAACAGTTTCAGCTGTGATAGAAAAGAACAGTTTATATCAGCAAATACAGCAGGGTGAATAAAACGGATGAACGTATGAATGATGTCATGAAGGCAGAACCGAACCCAGAACAGGTTTCTGGTAACGATGAACAACAGGGGTCATATGTCGGCTCAGCGGTCCATCCAAAGGCCAGACGGAGAACCATCACGTTGAACATTTCTCTTATTGGGAATAATTCACTTCGAAGGATTATATCGTGAAATAACGAGCAGTCAGCGTCTTACCAGCATCAGTGGTACTTATGGTTTTTAATTAAGAATATGGATCAGAAATCTGAATTTGATACAAAGTTTTGGACTAAATATGAAGTGACAGCGGACAAAAATGTACACATGCAAAAGCCTTCAAATAAAAAAAGAAATATTCTCATACTGAAATATGAATTTATATTCAGAAATCGTGTCAAAGTAAAACTAAAGAATCAATCTGGATTTGTTCATGTTTCCGGCTCAAAAAAATGTTTTCATATTTATTTAATTTTCCCACCATTTTCTGCTGGAATCTGTATGATTTAGTGGATTCTATTATTGGAGCTGAAATGTTTCTAGTCACCAGGGAAACAGAGAGACGTCATAAGAAGCTCGTTTGATTTAAAGAGCAGGAAAAGGAGTTTTATCTCCTGACCACTTGTGGATGTGTTACATGAGAAAATGTCTTTTCTTTTAATGATTAATAAAGCTGATCAGGCTGGAAAGTTTGTCAAACAGTGATAATGAAAGTTTAGTTTTTTACTAAAAATACTGAATATTAACATTCTGCATCAAAGCCAGAATTTTTACCTTCAGGTCACTGCAAACTTCTCTTTCCAGCAGAAACGTCTATGATTGGTGGCGACAGGAAACCTGCATGTTTGTCGGCTCACCTCGTTTTTTTTGTTTGTTTTTGCCTGGTTGTTGTTTTTTCTGCTCACCTGGTTGTTGTTTTTTCTGCTCACCTGGTTGTAGAGGGCGCAGATGTGCAGGGCGGTGTTCCCCGAGGCGTTCTGGGCGCTCATCAGCGCTCCGTAGAACAGCAGATGCTCCAGATGCTGCACATGGCCATGGCGGCAGGCCTGCAAACACACACACACACACACACACACACACACACCCACACACGCACCCACACACACACACACACACAGCGGTGAGAGGATCCCTGCAGTGTGACGGCTTCACCACTAGATGTCAGTGTGGTGCAGAGGAGGAGAAGTGAAGCCAGGAGCAGCTGGTAGCCTCAGTTTGAACCCAGGAGCAGAAAGACGGAGTAAAGGACGTTAAAGAGAATCAAACCTGAAATAAAAACCTAACAGAGTCACAGAGGGAAACTCATCTGTCCAGACGTTTATTAAATACATTTATCTTTAAAGAAAATCCTGAATCTGTAGACTTTCTGACCTTTGAACTTGTTAGGTCTGTGTTTGCCCCTTGCCAAAAAAATCTTTATCAAATTCAAAATAGAAACTGAAATTAATTCTTCTCCATTGAGCCTCATGAATATTTTTCTGCATTTGAGAAAAACATTTCTAACTGAAGATCAAATGTTGATTTGAACTTGCAGAAAAAGTCAAAGTAAAACTTTTCCTGTTTGACTGTAATTTAATTAGGTTCTGTTTACATATATTTTTTATTTCTGTATATTTGGGCTGAACATTCTGCCACTTCCATGTTGCATTCACACAGTGTGGGACATTTGAAAATTCAAGTTTCAGATTCCATAAAAACGGTAAAATAACAAAACAGATATTAATGATCTCAGCTTCACATTTGACATAAATGTTGAATGTAAGGAAAACATCTTATTAGCAGGATCAGAGAAAACGAGGTAAAACAAGCAGCCTGCATCCAGCCTGAATGTTTTATTACACTTATACTTTTAAAAAGAGTCAAGGAGAAACGACCTGATGTGTTACAGGAAGTCCTGGGTAAGAATCTCTGATATGATTTTAGTGTTTTGTTTTCATCGGGTCGCTCTGCGTCTGATGTTTACACTTCTAAAGCTAAATATCACTTTATAACCTTTTTATAAAACAAAGTGCTTCAGCTGCAAATCACAGAGGAGATGAAAAGCAAGCAGACTTTAAAATGCACTGACGCATTGTGCAGACATTAAAAATGGATGTTGCTTATGTTGCAGGAAAAGTCATTAAGCCTGCAAACATAAGCAATATAAAAACAGCTGAGTTGCTGCTTGTTGTTGAGCTGATGCTCGGTCGTCATGGTGAATATGTCAGAGGTCTGGGAGATGAAGCTCCTCCATCTGAATTATACATCATGTTTTCATCATCAGTAAGCTTACGAACAATTAAAAACAAAACAGACATGAATGACACGTAAAAATGTGAAAACCCTGCGTGACGCTGCAAGAGAAATGAACTTTTCCTCTCCTCAGCAGAAAGTCTTTTCTGAGCGGACAAACTTTTCAGTTGAAGTTTGAGGAGAAACATTTCCTCTGAATATGAAGGTGAAGTGAGCGGCGCGCTGACCGCGAAGCGGCAGCAGCTTCTGCTTATCAGCTCTGAAACGGGACGGATGAGGAAGGCTGAGATTTTACAGCCTGACAGGGAGGAAGATAAGCAATCTGATGAATCCGAAGGCCAGAACACACACTTGACACACACTTTTCCAGTTTTTGCTACCTTGTGGGCCAAGTGAAAAAAATGCATGAGGCATGTTAGGAGAGCATCCCAAGCTGCTTTAGAGTGGTTTCCCATGCGGGGTCCGGCATTTTGGGCCCCACGACGTTGGTGTGCTCCCGTGCTCTGGACCCCGCACCGTAATATAAACAAGTACACACACCTGCACACACGCACACACACGTGAGTGTGTGTGCGTGTGTGCAGGTGTGCACACGTTAGTGTGTGTGCGTGTGTGTGTGTGTATGTAATACCTTGTGGGGACGATTTTCCTGACACATACTAAGCTGTGAAGACCAATTGCTCCTTGTGGGGACCGTGGGAAACCTTGTTTTTGGGTCAGGGGTCAGAGTTAGGGCTAAGGTATGAATTGAGTTTTGGTTGGTTAGGGTTCGGATAAGGGTAATGGTAAGGTTTAGGCTGTAGAGGTGAATGGAAGCCAATGGAAAGTCCCCACAAGGATAGTCACACAAACATGTGTGCGCGTGCAGGTGTGTGCGCGCGTGTGTGCAGGTGTGTGTGTGTGTGTGTACCTGGTGGACCTCGTGCCAGCCGTTCTCGTCCTGGCAGCAGACGGAGGCGTGCTGGCTGAGCAGCAGCTCGCAGCAGCCGGGGTCTCCGCCCGTCACCACGCTGTGGTAGAGCGGCGTCAGGCCGCGGCTGTCCTTGTAGTCTGGAGACGCTCCCAGCTCCAGCAGCGTCTGGATCCACAAACACACAACATTCCCATGTTTTATCATATCACTCACCTGGAAACACATCAACTGTGTTTTACAAGTCTGCTCACCCAGAAAATGTTTCTTAGAGACATTAACTCCACGTACAAAAACACAAAACATCCCAGGTTTTCTCTCCATCTGCATCAAAGTGAATATTGAACCAAACTTGATCTGAACCAAATGTTAACATTAAATTTACCATCCTGGTTTATGACATTTCTAATAAAAGTTTAAAGTCAGAAAAATCTGAAATGCTTCCGTTTGTTTCATGAAACAAAAACTCCTTAGAAAGAAATGACTAAAACAATCAGAGCTTCCAAAATAAGAGCGAACATAAATGTTCTGTAATGGGAGCCGTTTGCAAAGTTACACTCAAAAATCAACAGCTATAATTTGGTTATTTAGGTCATAAGAGGAAAAATGGGGTTTGATTTTATCAGTCATATTTTCACCATCATAATGTGTCATTTAAAAATGTAACAGTTAAACTGTGGGACAAAAAATATATATTTATATTCTATTCTAAATATTTTGTAAAATAATTAAAGTTAAGTTGATAAGTTACTGAGTTATCAATATGTTAAATATTTACATGATTAAAAATACATTCAAATATTAAAAAAACTAAATTGTTAGCTGTAAGCTAAATATGTAAATGTTCATTTTTAATATTTAAATTATTTATCTACATATTTTTTTTTAAAAAAACTAAATATTACAAACTGTGTTTAATTTGGAACTAAATATTTAGCCAACATTTAGTTTTGCAGTTAATTTGGAGCAGCCAGCTTCCTGCATGTCTGATCCACTGACATTTTAAAATGATCCATTTTTTTTCAGGGAAAACAGGAAAGTTTCTCATCTCACTGATCTGTCAGGAGAAAAACGTCCTGAGATGATCTGAGCCGAGCAGATTTAACGTCTGAATGATGGTTTTTAATCTTTAGAGGAGGAAGAGGGCGTTTCCTCACCATGAGGATGAGCTGGTTCTTGGCGCGCGCGGCTTTGTGGAGGGAAGTCAGGCCGTCCTTGGCCCTGAAGTCCAGATGAGCTCCTCCGTTCTTCAGAACCTTGATCATCTCCACGGCGTTGTCCAGCTGGGCCGCCGCCGTCAGCGGGCTCTCTGGAGGAGAAACACCATTCAGGGCAAATCCACTTCCTGCAGCTTCCAGCACCCAGACAGTAAAAGGTTTGTTTTCTAAAGCTCAGCGTGGGAGACGAGTTTACAGCGGCTCCAAAACTCCTGGGAGGAAGAGTGAGATCTGAACCGCAGGAGAAAACAGCTCAGCACCAAACAGGCAAAACAAGACGCACAGCAAGCCTGGAAACGAGGAAACGAGGAGGTCCTGCTGAGGAAGCAGAGGATTACAGAACTGGATGAGCGAGGGGTCAGACGGAGCAGCTGCTGCTCAGCCAGCAGGAAAAACCAAAACCTAAAAGAAAAACTGGAATAAAGACGTTCCAGAGTTTCCTCTCTGCTCCTCTCAAGTATTCAAAGTTTTCATTTTAAATCTCTTCCAGCTTTTTGGGATTAGGAGGAAACTAAATATAAAACCAGATATGTTTAAATAATAGTTTCCTCTGGACATGACGAAGACGCCACAGAGCAACGAAAAACCAAAACTAAACGACAAACCAAAGCAACTAAACATGGAAAACAAAATTAAAGTTAAAATAACAGAACATGACTGGATTATACAACCAGTTTATCAGTGAACTGGTTGATCAGTGAACTGGTTGATCAGTGAACCGGTTGATCAGTGAACTGGTTGATCAGTGAACCGGTTGATTAGTGAACTGGTTGATCAGTGAACCGGTTGATCAGTGAACTGGTTGATCAGTGAACCGGTTGATCAGTGAACTGGTTGATCAGTGAACCGGTTGATTAGTGAACCGGTTGATTAGTGGACTGGTTGATCAGTGAACTGGTTTATTAGTGAACTGGTTGATCAGTGAACTGGTTGACACATCCAATGTGGTTCAGGCAGAATGAATCACATAGAGACTTTTGGACCACAGCAGGTACGGGAAGCCAGAAGTGCCACAATTCAATAACTTAAAAAGTTCCAAAACTTAAAGAATCAGATTATCTTAAATAAATTATTACTTTTTTACTATTTAAATATTCATTAATTATTTTGTTATGTATTTTCCACTGAGTCATTTGCTGAGAAACAAAATGAAGTTACTTTACGTTTCCATATTACTGTAGCCAATCAGCTGGGCTAACGCTGCTGCTGTGATTGGTCTGCAGCTCAGTGTTAACCAATCAGATGTTTGTTTTCAGCAGGAGATATGAAGTTATTTAATTATGTAGTTAAGCACAGAAAGCCAGAAACAATAGTAATAAAAAGACATTTATATGTATCAATCAAATTTAACTCAGATTCTCCCATTTAATTACATAACATAAAACTGGATGGTAATTCATAACAAATATTATATGATAGGGTTCAACTAATTTACGTACTTTATAATGATATTTGGTGCAGAACAGAATAGAATTTATTTTAATTTAAAATAAATATCAATTGTTCTGAGTTTCTGTGCAACAGCAGCAAATAATCACACAAAGACAGAATATAAAGTATTTATAAAAAACAGAATAAAGAATAAAATGCTGTACAGTAAGGGCATAATTTCAAAGTAAAAGCTTCCAGAGGTTCTGTGGGTTTCTCCAGGTAAGTGGAACCGAAGGACATTTCCCTGAAATTTATCTTCAAACTTCACTTTTCTTCCCTTCAGGTTTTTGATCTGATAAAGCAGGTCAGCTGGTTCTCTATTAATTATGAGGCGTAACAGGAAAACAGCAAAGAGGTGATTAAAGCAGCGCTGATGATGCTAAACAAGGTCATCAAAACAAGACACCAGTAGACAACAAACATGTCCCAGTTCAACATAATCAGCTTATTACGGCACCAGCAGCCGGCCCAGAAATGATCAAATTAAAATATTTACCAGGAAAAAGCAGCTTTATAAGGTCCAGCTCCCAGGAATGTAATGTGTGAAATGTTTGAAAACATCTTTGATATAAAAGCTAAAGACTGAACTCTGTTCCTGAGCTGAAATTAGTCAGGAGACGGAAATATTTTCAGCTCATAAATAAAAACGGAAGCAAAGATATTAAACCATAAAGAGGCTCAGAGTTTGTGTCTGCCGGTGGAAGCAGAGTCTGCTCCGGTTTCCTGGAGAAAACACTCTGGATCAGGGTTAAAAAACGATAACGCTCTCAGAAATAACTTCAAACCGAATTTAAAAAATGAGAAAAATCCTGAAAATTATCCAATGGAAATCTGATAATGAGGGTTTGATGATCCTCACAGTTCAGAGTTTGGATCTGAACTAGTTGCTGTTTTAAATGAGGAGTCTGCTGAAGGTGATGCGCTCCATGTTATTTAATGGGATTCCCTCTTCTCATGTTTCTGCTTATTACTACTTCTGCCAGGTTGAAGTTATTGCAGTGATCATTATTGGTTTTCATGAACAGCGCGGTGCCCAGCGGGTTGAGGAGCTCTGGAGGTTTGGTTTGGTTACCAGCCGATCTGCTCCTCATCCTCCTGTTCACCTTCGTCTGTCCACTCAACGCTGCTCATTTCAAGCCCAACCGCAGCACAGACACTCCTGACACGTTCATTAAATAATGATAAATAAACATCATTATGAGCCTGGAGCTGCAGTCAAGTCAACAGCTCTTAAGGCAACAAACGGCGGCAGCGAGTTTCTGGCTGCCTGAGGCCAACAAGACGAAGGTGGAAACGTTTGAACATGTCTGGTTTGATCCGCCGCTCAGGAAACTGATCCAGACAAAAACTGGATTTATTCTCCTCAACTCAAAGGTAAAGCAGCAGAACCGCCTCCAGATGTTCTGTCCAGTCCTGAAGCTCCTCCAGATCCTGGATGGATTTTACTCGACGTTCCTCTACAGGCTGCAGTTACCACTGTTCATCTTTCCCTTCCACACTTTTTCCTTCCACTCAACTTCCTTTGAAAGAGCTTTGGTGCAACTTCATGAGTTTTCAAGATTTCATTTTCTCACAATAATCAAATTTTCTGAGATATTGACTTTTGGGTTTTCATAAAGACAGAATGTTCCTGCAGCCGATGTTTCGTTACGATCAGCACCATAAAAAAACAAACTGGGCGACAGCGAATCCATCAACTAGAACCAAAGGTCCACCAGATGAACTCTGTAACCTGCTTTGGTCGGTGCCTTCATGGGATCGCTGTGTTTACATCTACAGAACCGAACCAGGAGGAAACCAGGCCAACCTCAAACTAACTTCACATGAGACAAATCGGTGATTTCTCCTGAACATCAGTTTGGTTTCAGACTCTGTCCCGTCTGAGTGTCACAACTTTAGAGCTGCTGACTTTCACAAAGCTGAACTCGTTTCCAGAATCAGTCAGAAGTTCTGATTCCCATCATGGATCCAGTTTGTGGACAGAACATTACGGAGCAATGTTAAAACTAATAACAAGCCGGTTCTGGTCCAGATACTTCAGCTGCCTTACAGGCCTGGACCGTTTTATCTCAGATCTCTGCAGAGACAGAAATCTGACGTCACGATGAAAAATGCTGAACTTCTCATTCATTTACAACATTTAGTGGCACAAACATTTGTGTCTCTGCTTCTGAAATGGGAGATCAGTTCACAGTTCAGTAGAATCACTAACAGTCGTGTCGAACGTTTCAGCTCATCGTCTCACATTCTGACATCAGGCAGATGAAGCTGTGGAAACAGACGGGAGCCGCTCTGACCCTGCAAAGTGGGTTTGAGAAACTAAATGTGCTTAAGTGAAACATGACATTTTAAAAGAAATCATGTTTTTGATCAAACGTTTCTAGGATGAGGAGGTTTTTCTGGGTCTGGGTTTCCCTCCAGAACCAGAACCATTTATTACCCTCTGATAAGCAGAAGGTTTTCCACCAGTGTTTCTTTCTGTTTGTGTCCAGCCTGCAGCCTCACCTCCAGTTTCCCCGTCGTGGTAGTTTGGGTCGAGGCCTCGCTCCAACAGCTTCCCCACTTTGTCCACCTGGTTCTGCTGAATCAAGTCCATGAACCTCCTCAGGTTGGCCTGCACACACAGAGGACAAACGGGTCATCAAACCAGAACGCTGAGACAAAAGGATCCATCCGGGGACTTTCACAGAGACTGAAATACAATTAGAGATACGGGGAAAGGTCAGAGAAGGTCAAACATAAAAGTATAAAATGGAACCGAGTTGAATGTGCAGATAAGGGACAGACAGGAGGGAGGACATCAGGACAGGACGGAGCGGATCCTTTCTGCTCGGCTCGGTTCTGTCTGCTTTCTTTTCAGGCCGTTAGATAAAAATAGATAAGAGAGCAGCTCCCAGAAGGACGGGAGAGAACGAGCAGGAAGAATGAGAGAGCAGAAACAAAAGCTGCAGCAGCAACAAGCTGGACCAGCAGCTACAGTCACTCTGATATTTACTGACTGGAAACTGAATGAATCTCTGGAATCCACCACAAAAACATTTGATTAAAAAGTTCCTTTGTTCTCCAAGGAGATTTTATCGTCATGATTTCTAGAGCAATTTGATTTTGTTGCGTCTGAAATTAAAGACAAAAATGTTACAAGTTCTGCTGTGCCGTCCATCAGCAACAGGAATGTTTTATTTATTGTTCAGTATCGATGTTCTGAGACAGATAATCTGTGAAAACATTGATCTCCACCTCCCAAGTCAGAGCCAGGAGGCGGGGCTGAGCGCTGTCCATCACTCCTGTGAACACGCTGCTCGTGGTGGAGAAACAACTTACTACTACAGGAAAACTGTTGCTAACTAGCCTTAGCATTTATTGATAAAGCATTGCAGAGAGCAAAGCGGAGGGTGAGCAGCGTGTACTTGAGGTTGATTGACAGCAATAAGACCCTCCTCCTGGCTCTGATTGGCTGTTTCTGACCAAACTGTGTGTTTCTGCAGTGAGCACTGGGAGAAGGAACAGGAGCGTTGAAAACATGTTTTTATAAAAGTTTCATATCCACCTATTTTTATTAAACACCTATTTTTATTTACTTCCTGAGACGCAGCACTGCTGGCGCTACTTAGAGCTAACATGTTTAGATGTTGACTGGATGTTGCAGCTGGCTGACAGAGATCTGAGTAAATACTGATTATTTTATTATCAGCTGCACTGAAAGCAGAGAATCATCCGAAGTGACTCGGTTTCTGTCAGACTGACGGCTGCAGTGACTCACCAGCGGTTCAATATCTGGAAATGTCAAAGGATCATGTTGGCGGCACTGCGTGTGCCCCGTGTTTTATTTAATGTCCCCGTCCAGCCTGTCCCTGAGCGTCTCTGCAGGCCTGATGAATCAGGATGAGGAGGAAAGTGTCGTCTCCTCCCTGCCTGTCCTGAACAGGGAGCCAGTTTGGACATTGATCTTCTCTTTCTACCACACAGCAAAGCAACAGGATCAACTCCTGGAACGATGAGCTAAAATATCTCCTTTTAGAACCAGAAATATCCCAGAGAAACACTTCTTCACATTAATAACATTTTGGAAACTTGACTGTATGTATTTATGTCCCTGTTCCATATTTATGAGCATCTCCCTCCTCTTGCCTTTCTTATTTTCCTCTGGTTGTGTTCCTTCCCGTCTCTCTTCCCTGCAGTCGGATGTGAAATTAGAGCTGCTGTCAGACGGTTTTACCAGGTCCAGTAGGAGAGAGCTGCCACAGACATTTATGCTTTGGCTGCACAACAAGATTACAGTGGCTGCAGGACAGCAGCCCAGAGCTGGAAGCAGACAAGCAGGAGGCTGAAAACTCATTTCAATTCATATAGGAGGGATGGAGGCAGGAAGAGGAGTCTGCTGTTCATCTGCCAGGAAAAGGAGCATTTTTCCAAATAATTATAAAAAAAGAGGACAGGAGAGATGGATAAGAACTGTTCTCCTCATTTCATTCGAATGACCAGAAACGAACCCAAACAGTCTGACTCCAACCAAACAGGGAAGATTTTACACAGAAACTGTAATCTGTGATTCTTTATGTCTTATTCTGGCAGCGCATTCGGTGTGAAACAGATTTGTCTCAGATTGCACTTCCCAGAGTGTGTCAGACTGAAGTGGGAGGAAGTGGGAGATCTTTCTCTTTATGTCTTTTCACCAGCAGGGGGCAGCAGAGCCACAGAGGGCCGAACAGACGAAGCTTCAGCTCGTATTTATCTGACAGATTCTTCATGTTGGTAATGACTCAGTTTGTTAAGGAGTTCCACAGGCCTCAGTGTTCGGTCTTATTGTCTTTAATCCAGGAATATGTAAAATACTGAATGGTATGAAGTCAATATCTGTTATGCTGATGATGACCAGATTTTTCACTAAGCCTGACTAATCAAATCGGATGGATCAATAACTGATTCCAGTACGACTGGATCCTTCAGAAACACATTAGCCGTCCCTCTATTGACTGTTTAATTGCATAATTCCACATTTTGAAATTAAATTTGCTGAATGGAAAAACGCCAGTTATGAAAAAACTCATTTTTTTGTATAAAGTGTTGGCACTATGATGTGGTTTCTTTGGTTTATTTCGCAAAACTTTAATGGAAACCTTTTTTTTTTGCCTCACATGAGTCACATGATCATCATCCAGATGTTCCTGCTGGCCCAACCCAGCAGGAACAAACATGGCCGACGATGGAGAAGCAATGGTGATAGTTTGTGTTTAACAGAATAAAACAATATATATTCCATCTGCTTTGACTTACAGGCTTGACTCATCAATAATGTGTATGAACTTTAAAAGCTGGATGGATCTTCTGACAGTAGAACGGGAGGCAGACATTTCGGGTCCCGTCCAGCTCACAGTTGTTTCTGATATAAATGTGTAATTTGGTATGATACTAATCTTTTTATCATTCAGAACACTTTGATTTGTTTTTCTCAGAACAAACCATAATGCGCATAGCAACCTAACTTAGCAACAGCTAATTTAATTGCAGGGTGTAAAAATTAAAAGATAATTTGCAGTAAGTGAAAAAGATGCCTGCCGCTTTGTTTTCCCTCCAAAACGAAGTGGCAGTAAACATCTCTGTCTGGGGCAACATTAATTACTTTATTTACCTCTCAACCTTCAGCTCTCATGATGGCAGCAAACTTTAAAAACACGACTTTTACAGAAACACAGTGAGGGGCTCTAATGGCCACCCTTACCTTTGTATGAAGTTTGGCGATCTGCTTCTCGTCGATGTTGGGCTGCCTGTAGACTCTGCTCTTGTAGCGAAACTGTTGGAGGAAAAAATGATTAAACATCTTCAGCTGGCCTGTGTTCATGGTCACTAATCAGAAGTGGAAATTGCCCATCTGTAGAAATCAGCATCACTCCACTGACTGACATGAGAAAACATGCAAAACGACGACGTCTCTAAAATATAAAGACCGTTTCTAATCAACCCCGGCCTCAAAATCTAATATGTCTGCTCCGAGTTTGAATCATTTTGGGTAAGTCCAGTGATTTTTACCTTCCTGTTCAGAGTCCAGTAATCTCTCCCGTTCCTCCAGTGAAGAGCTCAGGTGGATTTCCATCAATCTAAACTGGTTCTACAGATTCTCTGCTCATTAGTCGCCTTAAGTTGAGCCAAGTTCTCTGATCCACCAGCGGCTTCACTGAAAAACACCTCATGGATTTAAAGGTTCTTCTTCTTACCATCAAGTCTCCCCCTTTGGGGGATCATGGGTTCTGACCCAATGTGGTTCTGGGTCAAATCCAACTTCAGAGGTAAACTGATTCATGGTTTCATCATTTTGACTCCTGAGTGATTTGTCTGGAACATGAACCTCTCGTATCCAAACATCATGAATGTGGGACTAAGCTAACAACCCAACCATTAAGCTAGCATAATGAATAAAAACAGCAGGTGGCGCTACATCGCCACCTGCTGATTTAAAGTGGAACTGCACATCCATCAGTGTCAGTTGACTGAACGCCGTACAGAGCAGCTCTGCCTGTTTGCGTTTCAAGATTCGTAGATTTTCAAACCATATGTAAAATATTTGAAATAAGATGCAGCTTGGCTGCTACATGACAAACTATTGGCTGGCATTTGTAAAGCAGTCAGTCCATATGTTTCCTTGGAGATGATTGACTGTAGAGAAAAACCATGGATGTAAAGGAGGAGCTCAGACGGTTTCCACTCGGTGTAATAATGCATATTAAAATATATTTGGTGTTTAAAGTATTAGTATTAGTTATGAGCGTTTTAACAGGAGATTTCAAGTGTTTGCAGAATTAAGCTACTCTGGAGCGGCTGTGGTTCCTAATCTCTGTGAGTGCCGGGTTCTGGAAACGTTTTGTATTCAAACTGATTCCTCATTTGGGAAAAGGAGAGACAAATGTTTGTGCTGCTGCATATCTGCTGCCGTTCCTGTAAATAAATGAGAAACGTTGCTCTTTGCATGACTGATGGGTGATTTCTCCTCTGCAGAGATCTTTCATGAAACAGTCAGGAACTAAAAGGAACCTAGTTTGGGATTAGCAACCTGGTTTTGGGAACAGAGATTATCGGTTTGGGGCTGAAATGATCTCACCTTGCATGAGCCTTAGAAATTAACTTTCAGATTGTACACTGTACATTTTGAATATAAGCACAAAAATAATTTCAAAAACTTCAAGTGTTATGATAAATTTCCAGAAATCTCAGCAGTCCTCCCTTCAACATGCAAAGCAATAAGATTCTGTCCTGGTAGAATAAAAATAAACTGACTTGAATTTGGGTTCAGACGTCAGCACTACTCAGATAAAGGATGTTAGATTAGGATCATATTAAATGTCAAATCTGCCTCATGAATATTACAGATGTAACGGGGGGTAATAATCAAATAAAAGATTTCTCTGCTGCTGAGGGAGTCTGAAGCTCAAACCTTCTCTGTCTTGATTAAAAGTAAAGAGCTAACGGACTCCAGCCGCTCTGAGGTAAAGCAGACCTGAACTGAGGATGACGCCGTCTGAATGCCATCTGCTAAAGTTTCAGAGAAAGCTGCTGCCAGTGAACCTGCTGTGTGTCGATAATCTGGATCAGCGCAGCCAGAGGATGTGATAAGATGTGAGCGCTGAGCTGGGAAACGCTCCACGCTGCCACATTTTCACTCATTCATCCCAACAAGATACACAAACACTTTGTTACTTCATAAGGAACAAAACTCTGAGGAGTTCCTGAAAATTAGGACTTTCATTTTATCGATTTATGAAAGAAAACGTATAACATTACCAGATGAGAGATGAATGTCAAACTGCAGATCTACTGCTGCCCTTTATCCCTACATCTTCTCTCCATCTCTTCTAATCTACATAATAATCTAATATGTTGTTACTATGGAGAGCCATTTCAGCCAAAATTAAATAAAGAAATAAATGGGTAAAATAAATAAAAAAAATTAGTAAAATAAATCAATAAATGAAAAAATGAGTGAAATAAATACAAAATGAGTTAAATAATAACCTTTAAGTGATTCAGAGCAAGTATAAATACTGCATCTTTTAATGTAAGAATAACTTTTTTATTCTATTTTTTTGCTCCGTCAAACAGAAGAAGACAAAACTAAAGAAGTTATGGAAAATGAATTAACTTTTTTGATTAAAAAGTTAATTAGTTCACTTATTAACTTTCATGACCTCTGCTGACCAATCAGTGTTTTAGTACATTTTTTACTCAGAGAGAATCTGATTGGTGTAGGAGACACTTTTTAACAAACAGGAGATGAAAGGTGGTCGACCTGCAGAGGATATGAAATATGATGATTATTTCTGCTTTAATCTGAGACATCAGAGCCAAAGAGGCGATGAAACGCAGCAAACTGCCACAAAAGGCCTTCATCTGCATTTCTCTGGACTATTATATTTGTTTCAGTTGTTTAAGTTAGAAATTATCAGCAAATTACTTTGAAATACCTCAAAGACACTTTACCAACCAAACTCCTCATCAACCCAAGAGTCTGTAAAATAACCGGTTAACAGATTCCACCGACATCAAAGCTCTGATTGGACGAACGCTGACCTCCAGGCAGGGGACGCCCTTGCTGATTGGCTGTGGGTATTCTCGGAGGAGGCGCTCTTCGTCCAGGAACTTGCCGTCCCTCCCGTTGCTCGCCGGCTGGAAGAGGCCGTAGTTCAGGACGTCCTTCAGGGTCTGATTGAGCGTACACAGGATCCGCTGCTTGGCGATCCAGACCGTCGCGTCCGGGTTGAACCGCATGCATTTCTGACAGCGAGCCGAGGGAGAAAGCACAACAAAGAACATCAATAATTCAATATTAATTATTCAGCTAAAATAAACAGGGATGAAAAACGGAAAAAACCTGTAAGGGAGCAAAGACTTTTCCACAAAACTCTGTATCCACAGAACAAAAATACAAAACCATACCAAGTATTTG